TAATTATACCCCCTTCCCCCCGCCCCGGTCGCTGCCCCGGGGGGGGGGGGGATGGGGGGGAGAGACCGGACTCAGACCTCATCAAGCGGGTAAAGACCAAAACAAAAAAAAAAAAAAAAAAAGCGATGTTAAAGGTGACTCAGGATTCCAGGGCATTTTCAAGGCACATCTACCAGATCGACTTTTAAAGGTAAAAGGGTTTTCTTTCCCCGTGGGTGGTGGAGGTGCGGAGGCAGGCAGCGGGGGGGGCCCACGCTGGGCTCCAAGCCCCGTCGGGTTTGCTCTGCACCTTTAGTCTTTGCATCCCTCAGGTTGCTCAGACCTGGTTTCTGCTGAGCCCTTCGGGTCTCCGGTTTTCTTCTTTTTTTTTTTTTCCTTTTGAAAACCCAAACCGCCCCTTCCATCCCTGGGGGAGGAGGCTGAGTTCTGTTTTGGCATTAATACCCACGGGTGCCTGCACATAACAATTCCCTGCCGGCCCAGTCCTCCGAGTGGGTAAAAGACAGGTAACCGAAGCTGAAATAAGGGCAGACCGGATAATTCAGGCTCATTCTGCACAATCCTGCTTGCTTTGACTCAGCACCGTATATAACTCATGGCGTTAACGCAAGCTGGTTTCCTGCCTAGCACTTGTGCTTCTCGAGTATCGTGATAGCTTTTCTGTCTCACTGATGTGGCCAGAAAGAGGGGGATGGATGAGCAAACACGTTGTGAACGTGGAGATGCTGCCGGTTTCCATGTCTTGCTGGGATCAGTTGCTTCTGACCAAAAAAGACTGAAGCAGGGTGGTAGAGGCTGGTGTTGGCGTTTTGAAGTAGCTGTGTTAATAACCCGGACAACTACCAGGGGAAAAAAAAAAACCATATCAGCTATGTTTATAAAGTTTTCTTTTTTCTTGAAGAAGGAAGAATCCAGACACGTTACAAGCAACGGTGAATATTTCTTTTTTTTTTTTTTTTTTGCCATAAATAGAGGCTTTTTGTATATTAGTGGATAAATGCCCTTTTGGAAAAAAAAAATCTATATTCTCAATTTTCATTATGAAACCAAACCTATATCCAATAAAAATATTTTGTTCAGGACTGTGGCTGATGGCGTTGTAAAGCACCCCTCGGCTCGTGCAGCCGGGGGGCCGAGGCGCGGGGCCTGCCGCTGCTGCAGCAGCGAGCTCTGGTGCAAATACCCTGGTGATGGCATGAGGGACCACGCTGCCAGGAGGAGGGAAAAGGTGGGAGAGGCTAAAAACAGGAGCCTGGGAAATTACCCATTCCTTGCAACTGAGATAATGTTTCCCAAAATGATTCTGTTTCCCCTCCCTCCATCCCGCCCCATCTGACTAGCGAAGCCTGTCCTTAAATTAGCACCTGGACTACTGGAAATCTGGGTTTCTCAGGTGAGGTGTGATTCAGCTTTTACAGAGGCAGGCCGGCATCAAACTGCCTTGACATCTCAACCAGGAGCTCAGGGGAGCTCATTTCAGCACAAGGCAAAGAGCTCTCACGTGGGGAAGTACAGAAAATCTCCAAAAGGTGGGAAATGATGTTGAGTTTCCCAAAAGAAAGGTACTCATAGGCGGATCCCTGAATAGGCAGAGCTACAGCTTCTCACTGTGAAAAAAAGAGAATAAAAAAGGAGAAAGGGGCTTTTTATATAGATTTGCAAGATAGACTTTATTTAAACAAAATCCCAGCTTAGTTCTTGCCCAGCAGAGACCTCAAATCACCTCTCCACCCCCAGCTGCTTGCATGTGCTGGCAGCTGGGCACGCGTGTGAAACAGGAGGTTAGCGCTGCCGCCGAGGGTGTGCGAAGCTGGGTCTGCATCAAGCTCTAGAGCCGGTTCCCACCGGTGGGGATCCTGCATCCCTTATTTCCCTGCAGCCTGACCCATGGAAGGGTTTTGCCCCCAGAAAGTGGTTATTTATGCTCTCTGTCACGAGGTGGTTTATTCCTAGAATTTATTCCTTTTTGCTTCTTTAAAAAGCCTCCCCTGAAGGAGCTGTGGATGCTCCCATCAGGCACAGGGAGAGCTGTGCGGGGCATGGACCAGTGCGGAGCACCCTCACCGTCCCCGGGCGCCTGCACGTGTCCAGGAGGTGCTGGCAAGAAGCCGCCGTCAGCGAGGGTGAGCGCTTGCTTCTGCATGCACGGAGCGTGAGGACAGCCCCACGCAACGAAAAATTCCACTAAATCCCCCCCGAGCAGTTTTAACCTGTGGCTTCAGGCTCCTCTGCTTCCCTTTCTCCTAACTTGGCACCCCAGCTGTGACCTCTCCAGTTTTGGCACCTCTCAGCTCCCATTCCAGCTCCCAAAGTCCCTTTTTGGACCTGCAAACAGGGCCTTTATTCCTTTGCTACTTGTAAAGGTGTAGCCCCTCTACCTCAGGACCCTTTCTGTACAAGGGCACCTTTTAGTGGCAGGTCCTGGTCAAAAAAAAAATCATCTGAAGGAGCAAGTCTCACATTAGGATTGCAGTTTGATATGTACACAATATATATTTTTACCACAGGTACATTTTTTGGAGCTGCAACTCTTTCTACGCAATGGGAATTTATTTTTTGTGAAGCTTTGCTCCCAGTGACATTTGATTTTATTTCTGTTTTGTTGTAGTGAAGTGGGATCAAGTACAGCTGCAAGACTTAAAAGCCACACTGGACCTGATTTTGGTTTCACTCAGGAGAGTAAAATTAGTAGACTTAACACATTCTGCACAAAAGCGACACTAACTCAAATGAACTCAGGACTGAGTGAATAGTTACGAGTGGCAATTTGGAATTAATTTGGATCAGGCCATCAATGTAACTTGCAGGGGATGAGTACTGAGAAAAAGGGTCTTACTGCCAACACGCAGAATGACTAACCGCACACGGCTTTTGCACGTCATTTGTTTATATATAGAGGAGAAGAAGTAATGGTACAATAAAAACAACAGGGCTTTGGTGCGGAGAAATAAGCGTGCATGTCAATACACCAGTACCTGATGTTTGGATGTAAGTGAGCATCCTTTAATCCTGTATACATCATGTGAATTTTGGTGCCATGCAGCACAAAACGTGTCATACAAATCTAAAGGACTTGACAAGCTGCAAATAATTGATGTCAATGGTTTCACACCTGCTTCACAACCCAAAAAAGCAGCTGTCAAACACAAAACTGCCACCCAGTATTTAACTCATCCCTGGAATCTTCCCCCTCCCGGCTTTCCCAACCTCTCGGGGCTATAAACACAAGTCTGAAATACTGTGAAGAAATGTAGAAAATAGCCTATGATGCAGTATAAACAGCATACTTCTTGTGTGGGCGATATATATGCCTTTCCGTTCCACTGGAGAGGAATGACCTCTCCCAACCGAGCAAGGTTTCACGTCTCCGAGGTCTGCAGCCAATTTTAACTCATAGGAGCAGAGAAGAGCACACAGTGCAAGAGGCTCACAGCAGAGTCCTTCAGTTCACGGAGCCGCTTCGCTCCAAACACAGGTTTCCTATGAGAGGAACTAAAAATTTGGCATATTAAAATAATTCAGGAATTTAATTTCTCGTAAATGGGGCTTCCAGTCTTTAAATAAGCTCAGTGTGTGTTCTCTTAAAGTTGGTCCCATAGCATACAAAAAAAAAAAAAAAAAAATTGAGTATTTACACAACAGCAGAAGCCACTTTCAGGACTTGTCACTCAAAGTGCATGGCTGTCCATGGCTGATTTCAAGGTGACATAACTCTAAGGGACTTTGTCACTGCTTTAACTCCCCCCCCCCCCCCCCCGTTCTCGTTTGCTGTTTTTTAGCAAGGAAGACCTACAATGGGGAGAGCATCTCTTTTCACACCAAAACCCACCAGCCTCCTGCTAATTGCTCCTCAGCCTGTTGTGAAGAGCAGCCAATTCCTGAAACGAGAGGGGGAGAAGGATCTGCTTCTCTACTTGATTCATAGCCCTGCTCACCCAGAAAACAGATCTCCTGGGAGACAGCATTTTGGATATTAAACAGATCACATATTTGATTTTAAGTGAAAGACCAAGAAGACAAGATCACAGAATTAGAGAAGTTACAGATGGAAAAGGTCTATGAGGTTATGTAATCCATCAGTCTGGACATTGCATAATTGCTCCCCACAGTATATTTTTAGTGCTTTATCCAGACAAATCATTAAGTGCTTTAAAATGGGCCAGATTCCTCAAACGCAATGCGTGCTAAGTCACAGCTGATTTCACCGAGGCTCGTAGCTTCCAGTGTCTAATAAGACACCAGAAGAAAGTTTTGTGTGGTCAAGGAGAACAGCATGGACTCTCCCAGAAATAAATACGAGTCTGATTCGGTATTCCTGATAGGAATCTTTCCTAAACAGGCCGAATTAGATCTCTTAAATCTCATTTTCGGATTATACTGAATAATACATTATTACTTATTCAGATGTTCGCTTAGTCCAAAGTAAAACATTGTTAATGTTCATGCGAATGCAATTTGTTTCAAGCCAGCTTCAAAGCCACTCCAGTAAAGCGTAAAGAATGTTTATTTAAAATATAGTTGCTAAATTTAGCATGAGCTTGGTTAGCCTAAAACTTAGCGACATTTTTAGAGAGCACATTGCAAATCAGGAATGCATGGAGAAATAAATAAACTTTCCCACATTTTTGGAAATCGAGTAAGAATTTGCAAGTTATTTCTTGCACGGGCAATTTCTGTGGATTGGAAAGCATTATGAATAATGCAAATTTCCCACTAAACAGACAGTTGAAAACACAATGCTAATAATTGTCATTGCAATTTAATTTCAAATAATGCTCCCTCAAGGAGGAAACAACACTATTAGCAGTCAGCTATTGTTATAGAAATTACACAGAGCATCAACAACATGTTTCAATATTTACTCAAGCTCTTTGCAAAGCACCAAAAAGCGCAACGGAGCTGTGGTTGGCTACAAGCCATATTCCAATCCCTGCAAAGGAAATCTTATGTTTGAATTAGGTCCTGTGCCTCTTCCTAGTAATTACGATGCTGGATTTGACACCCACCCCTCGCACATTGATTGCCGAAGCTCTCTGGCCGGATCCTCGGCTGGGTTAAATGCCAGCCTGCCTGCAGGTTGAGCATTTAGACAGATGATTTTAAGCGTTTCCTTTCCATTCTTCCAGCATCACCTTCCTGAGTTTATGCAAGTAGAAGAGGTATACCTGGGCCATCTTCATGTTAAGTGACATTGCCCTAGAGAAACACACAAAGATGAGCAGGCTTGCGATGGGAAGCAGTTAAATTCTCTTTTATCGGGTCGGTATCAGAGGGCTGGAGCCTGGAAATTAGGCTCAGTTTTCACCATCTCCCTCTGTCCTTTCCATCCTTTGGTTGGCGCGAGTGTAATACCTGTTTCTGCTCCTAAGGTGGGAGGGTTACAGCTGTCCCGCTCATGGGGCTACAAGGCAAAAGGGATGTGGCCAAGTGTCCCCTGGTGTCACCAAAGATACCCATGGACTTCAGTGGGATTGGGATTAGCTCCTCACCAAGCAGCCAGGTGAAATAAGGGCACATGGAAGAAAACACTGAGGGTCTTTTTTTTTTTTTTCTCCAAAGACAGGGCTCCACAGCTTCCACCGGTTCTAGGCAGCTTCAAGCATCTACACCCTGATCCGAAGCTCTGTGACTCAGCTTTACGTGCAAGCACCAAGTCCCACCTGTAGACCCATCCTCCCCAGCCACCTTGCGTCTCCCTTGGCTCTTCAGATGAAGGTTTGCAAATACACTAGCCCAACACACTAATTCCTGAATCTGCAATGAGGTGGACTCCTTAATTCTTCACTATCTATCTTCAATTGCTTACTAAGTTGCTGTTTTCATTAGAAAAGCAATATGTGATAATAGTTGTTAAAATAATTGTATTTCTGTTTTTACATCTGTAAAGATTAAGTTAAACAGTATGAAGCCCATTAAACTATTTCATGTCATGCTGCCATAAATTTCCTCCATTCCCATTGCTACTATTATTCCAGAGTAAACTCTGAGATCAAGCTGCTGCCACAGAGAGTTATTTATAGGAGCTCATTCATCAATAAAAACTTCAAAAGAAATCTGTTACTCTTCTATTGGGAAGCCAAAGAAAACTAACATAAAGACAACCCTGTTAAGAAACAAAGCTAAGGAGACCACAAAACATTTAGTTAAGGAAAATCCTGATTTCTAACAAATACCATGCAAGGAGAGGAGGAGAAAAAAAAAAAAAAGATTGTTGGCAACTGAATCCTTTAAAGTTATTTCATTCTCATTGGATGGTTAAAATAAACTGTTAAACAGTTGTATTTGTACTGGCTCAGCCCCCTCATTAGACTTCATGTGATGGATTTGTGATCTCGCAGTGCGTAAGGAGCTCTTCATCTCTTGCAAAAGCTGGTGTTGTCTTTCCGCTTGTCTCAGCTTCTCGTACACCCATCCATCAGCACAGCAGAAACCTAATGAGCGAGATGCTGAGCAGGCAACCGATAGCATCCACCTCCCTAAAGGCAGATATATATAGAATAGCAAAAATCTGTATTTCATCATCCTTATTCTCTCTTATTGCACTGTCTTCTGTACATTTGAGCTATGCAGCATTGGCTTTGATATAATGATAGAGTTAGTCCTGCAGAAACTTAAATACACGAGGGGTTTAGTGCTGGGCTTTCCTGTACCAGCATGGTCCTCACAGAACAGGTCAGCTCTCTTTTCTAGCAGGACTCTTTGGAGCCACATCAGATCTCAACATGTTTCTTTTATATCATAGCGTGCTGGTTTTGGCTGGAACAGAGTTAATTTTCTTCATAGTAGCTAGTATGGGGCTACATTTTTGATTTGTGCTGGAAACAGCGTTGATAACACAGGGGTGTTGTAGTTACTGCTCAGCAGGGCTTACACAGAGTCAGGGCCTTTTCTACTTCTCACCCCACCCCACCAGTGAGGAGAATGGGGGGCACAAGGAGCTGGGAGGGGACACAGCTGGGACAGCTGACCCCAACTGACCCAAGGGATATCCCACACCGTATGATGTCATGCTCAGCACATAAAGCTGGGGGAAGAAGGAGGAAGGGGGGGGGAACATTTGAAGTTACGGCATTCATCTTCCTAAGGAACTCTTACATGTGATGGAGCCTTGCTTTCCTGGAGATGACTGAGCACCTGCCTGCTGATGGGAAGGAATGAATTAATTCCTTGTTTTCCTTTGCTGGCGTGCGTGGCTTTTGCTTTACCCATTAAACTGTCTTTATCTCAGCCCACGAGTTTTCTCACTTTTACCCTTCTGATTCTCTCCCCCATCCCGCTGGGGGGGAGTGAGCGAGCAGCTGCGTGGTGCTTAGTTGCCAGCTGGGGTTAAACCACAACACATAGCAATTAACCATAATTTGAAAAACAATCTCTCCCCTTTTTGTCCCTGTCTCACTAAGAGCTCCAGAAGAAGAGCAAGATCTTCTTGAAAGTCTTTGCAGGAACAGGGACTCAGTGGTCAGCTATGTCACGGTAATGGCATTCTCAAGCTGTTTTTTGAGCTCAGCAGAAAGACTCACTTGTTTCCATCACGAGGATCTGAGTCCTGAAGGCAACATGGACTTCAAGCTCCCAGTATGCATTGCATAAAATATTGTAATCACGTCCCCAAACATCAAAGCACACAGGTGAAGATGCTATTTCCCAGAGATCTCTTTACATCACTACCATAGGATTCATCTCAATGAACACTAGTCATCAAACAACTCAGTACCTGGTCTATG